AATGCCACCTTTTTAATAAAGAACCCTGTGATAATTCAGATCAGGACCACCTGAGCAGAAGTCTAATCTGCTAAATGAAGTATTTGCCTTACCTTTACGTCTGTGTAGGGACTTCTTGAGTTGAAAAGATGTCCATCTGTGGTGGATCCTCAACTAGAACGTTTTGTAACAAAAAACATTCCTAGATGCTTTTTTGAACTTCTAAAATGCAGATACAGTTTGCTACAGAAAGAGTTTCGCAGTCAAAAATAATCTATTATTCATTCAACTCTGGTTACAATACAGAGAAAACACATGCAGCTGCAAACTTCACCCATGTTTGTAGAATTGCAAACAGAATAAAAATGTAATTTGATGTATTTAACAGTAACTCCTGATGTAAATTTTGCAAGCTTGTATGCAGACCTACTATCCAAAACCAGTGCAAGACTCTACAGTTCTACAATTTCATTTGGCAGACGCTTTTATCCAAAGCGACGTACATCTGAGAGAAGATACAACACAAACAAGGATCTAGTCAGGAGAAAGCAATCTAGATAAGTGCCATAAAACAAGTTACAGTGTGATAGGGTGTTGATGCCAACAGCAGGCTGTGTGGGAGGTGTTTTGTTTTTGGGGCTGTCACGTGCAAAGGTGTTCAGTGAAGAGCTGGTCTTTAGTCTTTTCTTAAAGACTGAGAGGGAGTCAGCAGATTGAGTTTGGTAGCTCGTTCCACCACCGGGGAACCACAGAGGAGAAGAGTCTAGCTATCGACCTGTTGTGGTGGTTGCATCAGGCGGTTTTTGTTGGTCGAGTGTAGTTTGCGAGAGAGTTCAGGTAGGAGGGAGCTGTTCTCGTTGTGGTTTTGTAAGCAAGTGTCAGGGTTTTGAATGTGACGCAGGCAACAACTGGAAGCCAGTGAAGCGATGTGAACAGTGGGGTGACGTGCTGTTTTTGGCTGGTTGAAAACCAGACGTGCTGCTGCGTTCTGGATCATCTGCAGAGTTTTGACCGTGGATGTAGAGGGGCCTGCCAGTAGAGCTTGTACCAGGAGTTGTGCTGCATGTTCAGACAGGAAAGCTCTGATCTTCCTCATGTTGTACAGGACGAATCGTCACGACCAAGCAACAGAGGCCACATGAGCCTTGAAGGTTAGTTGGTCACACAAGTTTCTGGCAGATTTTGTGGGTTCGAGTTGTGTTGAATCAAGCTACATGTTGATTTCTTGTTGCAGAGAGGGACTGGCTGGGATGACAAGGAGCTCAGACAGTCTGTACAGTTAAATGTATGTCAATATAGTGTTGAATGGGGTTTTTCAAATTGTTTTTTTTAGGGAAACTAAAAGTGATGTTTCCAACTGTGGGCTTTACATGACTCAGGGAATCATAGCTTCCATCACAGGTTGATGCCACTTTCCTCTGAACTTCCTGCTCACAGCAGCAGGTGGCAGCAACTCACTGTTTAAACATTTTAAACTGATTTTATAAATTGAAGCAATCATGAAATGTAAATATTAAAGAAGGGAATGAGCCAACTGTGGGAGTAAATGGGACTTGCTGACAGAGATACAAAATTGATTATTAAAGGGATTTTTTTTTATCTGATTGGAATTCCATTTTAACCATCAATTACTGATTCTTTACTAAAGATAAAACGGATTACTGTGTAGCTTACAGTTGCCTTAAATTTATTCATACCCTCCCATTAAAGAAGGAAAAACAAAACAGCTGAAATAAGATGAAATTGACAAAAGTAATAATAAACAAAAATTTAATGAAAATCATGACATTGCTTTTGAATTGTGGTTCAATTGAAATATATGTACAAAAAAATAAAAAATAAAAACAAGCATGATGGGACTCATAAACTAATATATTGTTGAACAACCCTTTGAGGCAATAAAGTGTTTTCTGTAACTCTCAATCAGACTTCTGCACCTGTTGACAGCTGTTTTGTTTTTGTCCCACTGCTCATCAGCAAAGTGCTCTAATTTATCTGGGACAGTATTTTTTTATTTTATTTTTTTAAATTATTCTTTTCATCCACAATTCAAAAGCAATGTCTTATTCCACTAAATTATAATTTAGCAAATTTTTATTTATTATTACTTTTTTCAGTTTCTGGTTATTTGAGCGACTGCTGTGAATTTTGCCTTTTCTTTAATGAATACATTTGAGGAGGACTGTATGTGATTAATCTCTCATAAAAGTTGATTCATTATTTCTGGTAGGGGTTGTGTGTGAAATGTTTAGATTATAATCTTTGTGAGGATCATCTGTAGTCTTACAGCAAGTTTGAAAGTTGATTTTGGCACTTAGGTGAGGAAAGCTGCAGTTAAAAGTGTAGCTGTGGTGGTTTGGGGGTTATAGGAAATGCATTCTGTCAGTGAGGGACTTCACCAGTGACAGACAGACAGACAGACAGACAGACTGAGCCACAGAGAGCGCGCAGAGGAAGTTTGAGTCAGTCTTCAGAGAGAGCTCAGACAGAGAAGATCATGCGGCGGACTAAGTTTCTTCCCCATCAGCTCCACTGCTGCCACCGTCTCATAAATCCATCCAAACCCAGCTGAGGAAATAATGTCAGGAAACAACACCACGGAGTCCTACACCTGCGTGCGCTTCTACGTCTCCACCGCGTCCTTCTCGGTGCTGCTCCTCTTCAACCTCATCATCAACTGGACCATCGTTCGCGAGGAGCGCCTCCGCAGACATGCCCGCTTCGTGCTGGTGTTCCACCTGCTGGTCTCCGCCCTGGTCCACATGGGCATGAGCAGCGTCTTCTACTACCAGCTCCACCTGAACGCGCAGCCGGGGCGCTCGGCGTGCCTGGCCATGATCACGGTTCTGATCAGCAGCGCCTCCAACATCCTCCTGACGCTCACGGCCATGGCTTTGGACCGCTACTGCGCCGTGTGCTACCCGATGCGCTACACGTCCGCCTACACGGCGGTGAGGCACTGGCCCTGGATGCTGGGGGTGCTCACCTGGCTGGTGGCCTTGGTGATCCCGCTCGGTTTGTTCCTTCACCCGGACGGCGCGGACGCCTATGAGGGGCAATGCGGCCCGGAGCAGCTGAGGAAAGGCAGCCTGCAGAAGATACTGTTCATCGGTTTGTGCACGCTGCTCATCCTCTACAGCTACGTGAGGATTCTGGTGGAGGGGCGCAGGTTGGGAGTTCTAAACCGGCGCAACAAGGCCGGCTGCAAGACGATCGCGCTGCACGGCACGCAGCTGGCCGTTTACATCCTCCCCAACTTCGTGAGCTTCGTCCTGTCCATTCTCTTCAAACAGAACCTCATCGAGCCGGAAACCAAAGAGCTGTCAGCCGTGGTTATTTTTGCTTTCTTCAGTTTGGCGCAGTGCGTTGCGCCGGTTGTTTACGGCTTGCGTAAAGAGGAACTTTTGGAGCAGTTGAGTCACAGATTCCCCTGCTGCTCCCGGTACTTGAAGACTGTCCTCGGGTGGACCGTGCGTGCCAACTGGCCCCAAACGCACCACAGGCCAAGGTGATCCATCCTCTTTACATTCATTCATAATGAGTTGAATATATGATAGAGATCAGTTGCAGTGGAAAGTCACGTAAAGAGACATTTACTCAAGTGTTGTTTTAAACTTTAGTACAATTTCTACTTTGAGTAGTTCCATTTTCTGCTACTTTATTAGCACTTTTTCCCCCAACTCCATCACATTTAACTGATAACTTAGACATTTTGCACATTTAACAATACAAATGTTAACCAACTAATAAATGATGATGCAAAATTGCAGATTAAGATGAAACTTTATGAATTTGGCCAGCGACGAACACATTAACAACAACTGCAATAATGTACATTATTCTGAAACATCCCATTCCCTGCAATCAGTACTTTTGGTACTTCAAGTGTACTTTGATGCTAGTACTTTCACTCGATTAACTAAATGAAAGTTTTAAAGCGTGACTTTTACTTGTATCATGGTATTTTTACATAGTGGTATTTTTTTTCTTTACATATAAAGATAAAGATAAAGATAACTTTATTGATCCCACAGTGGGGAAAGTTCACTGTTACAACAGCTCCAAAAAAGTGTACAGCAAAATCTGAGTGCTTATTCCACCAATGTGGTTTGAAAACCAGAGCTTTGTCCTTTTGGAATGAGGGACTTTCCACACCAAGTTCTTGATGAAACATTAATAAAACCTTGAGTTTCAAACTGTTAATTCTTTGGAAACAGCTACTAGAACAAAGAGTCACATTCAACTAAAGTACAGTAATAAAATAAGATATGAATACACTAACTTTTCCCCCCAGTTTTTATATCAGTACTGATATTTGCATGCAGGGGGAAAATTATTCAAATGTCCACATGTGAAGCACATACTGTGACATGAAGTCACATGAAATACTGTCTGAATATAGCGTCAAAAATAGCTCACGATAAGTCTTTCAAAGCATCCACTTCATTCCTTTTTCTTCTCACAAGTAAATGGATTGATAAATAGCGGCAGGAGCGAGGCAGTGAGACAACGGGTTATTCAGTTTGACAAAAACATCCAAGTCTACGTAGCGATTACTGTAATTTTTAGTGTACAGTGCACCAAAATGAAGAATTGGCAAAAAAGTTCTATGAAGAACGGTGAGTAATACCAAGATAAGGATTTACAGAAATGTGTGAAACCAACTGATTTGCCTAAAGCTTAATATTACTATGACTAATGCCACCATACTATGACTAGATGTGCGATTAAAATGCCACTTTTTCAGGGTGATTTCAAAATAATGCCACATCAAAGTGTAAATACTTTCCTTTTTAGTGTTTTGGAAATTTGAGTGGCCGCAACACCGCAGCAGTGGCAAAAAAAAAAGCTCATTATTTCTTCTGTTTCCTCCACAGGGAGCGAACCGAGACGGCTTTAACCATCATCTCCCTGGAAGCTTCACAAGTAGCAGAGGGGGAGAGGGAAACCACGCCGATGCCAGTCAGGAGTTCCTCACATGACTTGCAAGCCTGTCACGCCAGTACAGACAATGCCTGATGGGGGGAAAAAGCTGGTCAATGTCAGGATCTTAACTGTGACAGGAACATGTGGATGTTCAAGCGGGAGTCGCTCAGGACTGAAAGGAACTAAAGGAACCCCCCTTTAAGCAGTCCAAGAGATGCCATCCTGACCTGAGAACTTGTAGGCCAGGAGATGCTGCAACACAGGGCCGAAGTATGTTTTTATTTTTGGCTGTTTTTGACCTTTCGTCCAGTGAGCACACGTGCTGACTAACAGCAGAACCGCACAGGGAACACTTCTCTTTTTGTAGATTTACCTGGTTGGTCCAGGGAATTCAACCTGCCTCTCTGACTTCGAGGCTACAAACAGTTCTCCATCCTTTGAGGTTACGACGACAAGGACGGGCGAGATGACATATCATGTGGTGAATCTTGTTTTTATCAACATTGTGGATGTTAAAATGTGACTAACTGCCTTGAGCCACAAACTGCAGGTCTGAAGTAAGTAGAGGGGTTGTCGTGTGAAGGCAGTTTTCTCTACATTATGAGTGGAATATTTGCTGTGATGATCACCTAAATGTTAGGGGATATTAGAAACTAAATATAAGCAGTGCAAAGGATCCATACTACTTCTTCCTACTGTGGCATCAAGAGTATTTTCTACCAAGTTAAGCTGTATTAGAAGCTGTCTCCCAATTTAACTTGGAAGCAATTAACACAACATGCAACCCCAAAATGTCCGCCAACTTCAAGAGCAGTGGGACATTTCCTGATCTGCTCATTATTGTTCCAAATACAGTGCGTACTTGGTTGTTTTATGGTGTTAATTCTGTTGTACAGATACGATGTGTTGGAGCAACTACAGCTTACTCCTCTATGTCAAAAAGAATGGATATAATTTAATAAAATATTGCAAGCTCCAGGTATATTTTGTTCAGTTTAGTTTGTTGGTGACTAAAATATATTCAGAAGTAGCCCATAAAAGATGCATAGATCTCAAACATTACATTAGCGTCTTACAAATGAAGAGGTAAGAAGTTTGGCTAATGGTGGTGAGGTGATGCTAACTTTGGTTAAATAAGTGGGGAACAGGTAGCATGTCCAAACATCTAAACAAAAATGTTGCTTCTTAGTTCATGAGCATTTTTACAATTCTACTTATGTGTTGGAGTAGACAAACATGGTAACTAAAGTTTATTTTTGGCAAGCTAAGCTAAGAAGGAACTGTAAATATGAAGTTGCAGTAGTGAAGAGATGGTTAGCCTAACAGAGCTATCCTGTTAGCGCCTCTGACGATCACTGATGCAACAAGTTATAGCTCATATAACTTAAATAATGACAATTATGCACTACATTTTCTCTAAATAGCAGATAAATGTTTTAATTAGTGAACTCTGGAGGTGATAGTAGCGGTTTTCACAAGATTAACTATTCCCTTCATTAGCACTTTTTTGCTAACCATGCTAACTACATCCTGGCTTAAGCTTCACATTTAGAACACACCGTTAACTATATTCTTATCTAGTTAGCTCTTGGCAATAAAGCCAATAAATATATATTTCCCAAAACAGTTTCTTTTAAAGTGTGTGATTCGGAGATGTCTGGTTCTTTCTGGAGAACTATCTCAAACCAAAGCAGACTTTTTTCTTCCATCTCCTTTGAATGCTTTCTATAATTGTTTGAACCACTGCTAAAAATATAGGAAACAACATATTCATTCAGGCCAACCTGTTTCAGGATTGCTGCTGAGCTTGTCTGTTGGTTTTAGTCAGACGGAGCAACATGTGCAGGGGAATTCTTAGTGTTTAAACCACAGGGCTTGTGATGCGCCGGCACAGCCTCATTATGTCTCACATGCAGTGTCAGTGTGTACGTTAGCGCAGGAAAGGCTTCCTATTCGTATTTCACAGCGAAACCCGAATGCAATTTCAGCAAAGCACTTACTGGCAATCCTGTAATGTCTTTGCCTTGGAAGAGCGGGGCTGCAGAAGTGAAACCAAAGTAGCAGGTTGTTGTGAACGCAACAGAAGTAGGAAGTGAGTTTGGCGGCAAGAGGGGGTAAAAAATATTGCTTTGATGGGATTTTTTTTTTTTTTTTAGAGCATCAGTTTTAACATTTTTTTTAGTTGCAAAGGCTTCTGAAAAAACACAAACCACAGAAAAAAAAACATTTGAAGAACTTTGCGGAGGCGGTACTTTTTCAGGCAAAAGCCTCACAAAGCTGTTTAATGACAGAAAACCTGCCGTACAAATAAACTACATTTATATGGACATCCGTTGCGCTTACACATGCTTGCTAAGGCAGAAAAATGGATTGTTATGAATCCAAATCGTGTGTTTGACGTGGATCCGCTCAAACACTGTGACTAAATCAGAATAAGTCATGTGGTGTTCGTATCAGATCACTTTTTCGATAATATTTGATCTCTGTAAAGCAATATGATCACATTTAACAGCAGTATTGTTTCCTAATATTCACCTGTAGATTATGTCACTCCATTATATGTACAGACAGTCATAAGCCTAAAGTTTGAGCAATAAGAAATTAGCATTTCTTAGAATTATATTACAACTAGGTATGCACACTGTTACACTTTCTACAGTTGCAGTTGAAGAAATAAGTAGTAGAAGTTAATGTGGGAGCCATGAGTAAAGAGTACAGAGTAAAGTTGAAGAAAAGCTCTCTGTGTCTGAGTCATACCACAACACAGGATAGGCTTCTAACAGCACCTGTGGACCAGTATCTAAGGCAAAGGTTTTGCATCTGACATGTTTGTATCTGCGAGCACCGAGTGAGCTTAAGAGGCAGAAAGGTGTGAAAAAAAAAAAAAAAACACTGCACTGTTTTCTACATTCAACACAATGTAGGCAAGTGTACAAAACAAAAGCTAACAATCTGTCCTTTCACATAGTTTCGTCCATAAAACAGATAAGCTTCCTGTTAACTGGCCTCCGGTCTCACAGTTGCATTGATGTTGTTGTATTAACAGAGATAGCATCATAACTTAATGTTACGACAGGTTTAATTGCTAAAGTCCAGGAAATATGCAAAACCTTTCAGAGTCTCAGACGCACACATGGAAGGTGTCAGTCATTGGCTGTTTTAGATGCACTGAATGTCTATTGTGATATTTTGGAGCGATCTAAACCATTCATATTTTCTAAAGATAACAACACCAGCTCAGGTTTTCGAGAGTTCAATAAATAAATGACAAAAAACTGCTTTACAAAGACATCAAAACTGGTTACACCAGATGGAACAATAACTTATGACGTCTGTGTAAAAGCTGTGAATCTTTCCTTTTCTGAGTTTCACTCCTTACATGAAAGCCTAATTGTACAAAGCAGGTACAAGGGCACTGATGTGTAACGGAGCAATGATGGCAATAATGCAGTTGATAAAGTCTGGGAGGACTTGGCGAACAAGAACCAGAGTCTGGTCAGAGATTCAGACGTGTGATGAAAATAATGAGCAAAATCAGACATCAAGACTTGTGTGTGTGGACGTGTAGTGTTTAGAAACCCAATGGGTGAGGAGACACTGGTCCTCCATTCTCCACCACCGCAGCAGAGATGGCCCGCAGGTTCTTGAAGAGCTTTTTGGAATCACTGGAACGCAGCAGCTTGATGTCGCGCATGACTCGGTCATGGGCCTGAGGGGTGAAGGGAGGATGAGATGGTGTTAAAACTGATACTCTAAAACATCCAAACAGTCAAGTGTAGAAGCCTTTAAGGATTTCATTGATGACACTGTGACAACTTTGCAACATGCATTAACTTGTCATCCACAGAATTTACATACTATGTTTGAATAATAGGGAAGTCCTAACCATTATTTTTTTCTTTGTGTTAAGCAGCAAGCTAAATTTAAACAAGTCTAAAGAAAGAAAACAGTCATAATTGAGCACATTTTATTCAACGCGCTGCATCACAGCACCTGCAGGTAAACATCATCACACGTGATCTGGTTTACCAAGCGCTTGCAGTTGCAGCCGCCTTCTTTCTTTGCAGGTCCACGAGTCTGGCCTGAATGTGGCTAAACATTGCTTTTGTTGTGTGGTTTTATAACAGTGTAAGCCGACACGGCCGGCATACAATATTTTTGTCATGACTTGTAAGGTCAAATATTACAACATTAGCGTGGGAAGAAGGGGGCTGACTTGTTTGACTAAATAGTATTTTTAGTGTCGACAAACGGGGGGAAGTAACCTTTTAATGGCTCATTCAGCTCACCGTGGACATCCATGCAATATATTATATGTTTTGCTCAGATTGATTAATAACAATAACAATTCTTATACGTTTAATTTTTTTTTAAAGTGTCAGCTATGCACTAAATTAAATTGTATTCGTAAATCGTATTTCCATTTATATTTGTAAATATTTGTTTAATGAAAAAGCATCTGGAAACACAAAACTAGTTACATATTATTTTTAAAAAAACAGCCATTATTTTGCTCCCCACATGACATCCATGCTAAATAACTCATTTTATGATATGTTATTAGATAACATCTGGGATTTTTTTTTTACATAATGTAACTGAAATTGTCCATTCAGTGACACAAACATTTGTCACAAACTAATGACTACTGCCTGTCAATGTTATCCAGGTTAAAATAATTTCTTATTGCACTTCTTTTTATGATCACTAAGTCCTATCTGTACAAAAGTTCTAACCTATCATTTACTACAGTAACTCTACCTAACTGTTCAGATCAGTACAGCACTAGTAGTTGCCTGTGTAGTATAGTTACATAGCTTTTTTTCCCCCTCAGTTTAACCCTTTCGACAGTGGGGCTCCAGTATATGGCGACTTTCTGCTCCATTCATTTTGATTGGCTATCAGCGGGAATCCCCGTATGTGAACAAGCAATTCAGTCATTAAATGAATTATGCAAATGAAGTAAAATGACGTCGTTTGACCACAAAAATCACCAGAAAATGGGATTTTCGCTACCTTGTTTCCGAAATGTTCATCAGCGATCAAAACTAACTAATTACAAGACTTTGGCTGATGTCTCAGTATGTAAGAACTGATAATTAATTGCATATATCCCTGGTGATTCTGAAGTTTACCTTTTCTTTTTCACACCTATATGACAGGAGTAAACTTACAGATATATTGAACTGTCATCTTGTCTACTTTTGATTGATACCAGATATGTAATGATGTGAAGTCTACTTAAGAATTTATGATTGATTAATCAAAACCAGATCTGATCATGAATTTCAAGCAAAGTTACTTAGTGTTGAAGTGTATAAGGAATACACATTTACTTAGTGTTGAAAGGGTTAATAATATAATGTTCAAACTGGATACAAATCAATTCAGACATTTCCGTCAAGGAGTCTGGTTCGGAAGAAGATCTTACCTCCATGCACCATGTCTCACACAGCATCTTCTCATGCTGAGCTGAAGCATGGCCCTGACTCAGAGAGCGTGAGGCCCTGCAGAAAGAAAAAAAACAACAAAAAACCACAGGGCACGGTGCTTTAGGCTGCGTAGGGGTTTGTACATGGAATAAAAGCACATCATAGAGAATAAGTGGGTGCAGAAAGAATGAAGCGGGGACAGACAAAAAGGCCAGGAGTCGGTACAGAAAAAAGAAAACACGCACACACAGAATCTGACATCTTTAACTGCTTCTGTTCGCACATACCTCGACAGGACAACCACCATGGCGTAGAGGTCGATGGCACAGTCTGCCACTCTCTTCAAGACGAACTGTTCGTCTGAAAAATGAAACGACTTGTTGAGCTGACTGACGTTACACAGCCACAGAACAAACTTACCAAGTAATTAAATGATTCCTTGTAAGGGGCAAAGAATCAACAATTGCACCGACAATGAATTAGATATGACTGGTAGAATTCTGTGGAAGAAGTTCTGATCTTTCAAGTAAGCTAACGTGTGCAATTATAAACATCTGAAACGACTTGGCCTCGAAGTGAAACACCAAACTGCTGCAACCTGCGGAACTTTGACAGATTTGTATCCGACACCCACCAGGTTTCCTCTGACAGCCGCAGATGTGCACTTACCGATGATCTTCTTGCCGTGTTTGATCAACTGCTCCTCAATGACCACTCCGAATTGTTCGATAGCTTTAACTGTCTGAAAAGCAGCAAAAAAAAAACAAAACACAGAATCAAGCAACATGATAACCATAGTATGAATGGATAATTAAAGGCAGCCCTTTAGAAAAACAAGGGCTCTTTGACACCCACTAACTCCGGTCCTGCTGCCTTGGGTAAGAGCTTCGCATACATTTTCAGAATCTGGTTTATTGCTGAGTAGGGCAAACATATCAAACTGCATCATAAACTCAAAAATAAAAGATTTAAACATACCAGTTCACCACTCTGTGCCAGCTCAGGGTGTACAGTTCCCTGCAGTGTCAGACCAGTGCTCAAACCTGCCTTTCTATAAAGACACACACAAGAAGATCATGTTAATTAAACATGAACACACATACCAAACACAAACAACAGCATTCAGTCCCAAACATATAAATATATACAGAATAAAAAGAAATAGGCTTTTCAACAGCTATTTTGTTTAACTTTCTGGATCTTTTCTGTCATATGGATGAAAAATTAGCTGAATTAAAGTTACATGATGAGTCATTTGCGTGCACTATAACGGCACTTAAGAGCCCGACTCACAGCATGAAGTGAACTGCTAAAGGAAAAGAGTAAGACAGTACAATATTTATACGAATGAATTTGGCAACAATGGAACTGCTATAATTTATTTATTTATTTTTCTAATCTTTATTTAACCAGGAAAAGGATAATTGAAATTAAAAATCTATTTTTTAAAGAAGGTCCCAACACTATCCACACAAACATCATACTCATAATGCATCCATATACCGCTTTATCCTCACTAGGGTCGTGGGGGCTGGAGCCTATCCCAGCTGACTCAGGGTGAAGACAGGGGACACCCTGGACAGGTCACCAGTCTATCACAGGGCTACACTTAGAGACAGACAACCAAGCACACTCACATTCACACCTATGGACAATTTAGAATCACCAATTAACCTCAACATGTTTTTGGACTGTGGGAGGAAGCCGGAGAACCCGGAGAGAACCCACGCTGCACGGGGAGAACATGCAAACCCCACACAGAAAGATCCTGGGTGTCTTCACCGGGACGCGAACCGGTGACCTTCTTGCTGCGAGGCAACGGTGCTAACCACTGTCCCATTTTGCAGCCCCCACACAAACATCATACTCATAACACATGGTGAAATTAAATTTAGAAGATAAGAAATCAACATTTCAGCAGAGATCAGAAAAAAACCTCCACACACTGATGCTTCTGCCTCCAACTCATTTAAGAACACTTTAGAAGTGTTTAAAGAGACCAGCGCTTGAAGTTTCCGGTCTTTTTGCAAAGTGTTCCAGGAAGAGGGAGAATTTAAAAGCTTTCTATCCAAGTCCTGTAAATGTTACATTTTGTAAACACGGAAGAGATAACTGCTGTCAGGTAAGGGGTTAAGCTTCTGCTCAGGCATCAGCTACACCTGAAAAGTTGCGTAACAAAGACTAGGACTGACATCAGTCTGGAACTCAAACTGCCTTGTGCATGTAATGAGTATTGTAAAGGGTGTCCCCATCTCTCACTGTCAACTACAGCAGTCTAGCACTTCCTTCCTCCCAGAAAGGAGGAAGTGTGTTTGCTAAAGGTGATGCAACCTTTTGGCTCTCTTGGTGATTTCTCCTGCAAGCAGCCCAGCGTTGCCAAGGGGGTTCTTCAGGGCTTTCTGTAAGCCCTTCAGTTGGTTGCCAGCATTCTGGAGGGAAGGAAAAATATAGTATTATAGTTCAGTTTGAGCAGATGACCAGGTTATATGTTCCATCCTGTTAAAGTGGCCCTTTGTCTGTCTGTGCAGTCATCTGAGCGTTAGGGACAGCAGCCCGTTTAAGGAAGTAGCTTCTTGATCAACCGTTTTTTAAAACTACAAGATGCTGTTGCACATTAAAAAGGCACATAGGAAGTACAGATAGGAGTTTCAGACAGCAAGCAGAAATCACTTCCTCTGTACTTTTCCACACACACACACACACACACACACACACACACATACACACACACACATTATCAGGTCACCACAGCTGCTACAAACATTACAGCAAAGAGGTTTTATGTTACCTGGAAGCCATTGAGAGCCACAAAGAGTCTCAGGATGTCGTTTGTGCCCTCAAAGATTCTGAAAATTCTCAGATCCCTCATTACTCTCTCCACTCCGGAGTCCTGTGGAAACATAAAATGATAATGACCTTCTAATTGTACACTGTAGAGAGAAACACTGGCATTTTTAAACAAATAATTCCAGAATACAGCTGGATATAACCCTCCATTTACCGTAAAGAAAGCACACGTTTCACATTTTCTGTTATGACCATTCTGCACTAAAATTAACTCTTAATTTACTTTTTTTTTGGTAAAGCTTCAAGCTTTTCTTGGCATGTTAGGCAAAAAATATGAGACTATGAGGTGTGATATTTATCATATCTCTCACATTTTAACTGAGCTTCTCACACAAGTTAAAGTAAGGTCATGAAAACTAGCTGCAAAGAGGATTTAAGACAGTTCCTGTTCACTGCAGTGCTTTTTTTATTTCAAGACACTGTTCGTATTTTAAGCAGCACAGAAATGAAAATGTGCATCGAGGCACTTCTGACTTTTGCTTCCTTGCTGAAATGAAACCCTGAGTCAAAACGCACACTTTGAGCAGAATGAACGTGTCGCATCAGTGTCTTAGATGGCTCACGTCGCACAATTCATTTCAGAATTAGTAATACAAACGTGAGGGAAGGTGAACTTTTACTCCTTTCAATAATCTGCCGTGTATATAATATTTTACAGTAAGAACTTCGCGAAGCTTAAACTTCTGTTTACATTTTGAGAATATCCGGGCACTGTTGTTTAACTCACTTGCATTAAACTGTACTATATATCTTGTCCACCCCCATCTAAGTGTCACCCCTGCTATTTGTGTAGCGAGTCTGTTTCCATGACTGCGGCACACTTTCCACTGTATTATGACCCAGGCTAAGTGGCACATTTGTTTGCAAGGCAGTCTGCCATATGATCTGGTTTATTTTGAGCAGAACAACTGTTTACAAACCTTGCAGTCTATTCTTGTAAGCCCCCTCAGTTGATTTTCTTTTTTTCTTTTTAGCGAGCTGAGAAAACCATCAGTGCGGTTTTAGCATTTTCTGAACGTGAGCGTCTCGCACGTATGGGCTTTGTGACTCAGTACCACAACGGCAAGTCAAACAGCTTCCACCATATACACTGTACGCGACTTCTCTGAGAAACAAAGCTGTTGCCTTCGCTACAGCAACGCTTTTGCGTAGTTGTTTGATGTTTATAGAGCTGGATGATTACATCAAAGTTGATTGAAATATTAAGCTATAAAATTCATACAGTTCATGTAAAAAAAAAAAAAAAAAGTAAATCAACATATTGTAAGTTTAGGTCAGTTATGACTGCAAATAAAAAACTGGCAATATTTTGTTATTATTGGTTGTGTACACAGTAAATACACAGAATGATCCAGGTAAAGCAGGAAAACCTATTTCATTTCCAGTCAGTCCAACTGTGGTCTAAAAGGCCTGATTGCACATCCTTGTTTGAGTTTCCAGGACGCTTGTTTGAGATGCACTCTTGCACTCAGTAGAATATCAACAAAGTCCACAGATTCCCAACTGAACATGTTTCAAAGGGAACATCCAGACATGGAACTGAAAATACAAGAGGAACTGCAGGGAAACCATCACGGTTCTGCAACATGTTTAACAGTCATGCATTATATTATATATGTATTATTATATTACATTCTATCAGCTGAAAATCAAGTTTGCTCTTAAATTTGAATGTCTGCGGTACATAAGGCTTGTGACTTGTTAGTGGTAATCGCCAGGGTTTTGTTTTTTTGTTGTTATGTCTCTTCCTGATTTGTGCATAGTGCAAATTTAATTTCCTTTAACCCTCCAACCCCCAATTAAAAAGCACACACACCAAAATGACATCTTTTATCAGAGCCAGAAACTGAATGAGAGAGAATTGAAAAATTTTGAACTTTCTGACTGTCCTTGAATTATTCATCTGTGATGTGCTGCTCAGTTGGGAAACTTTACCACATCTGAGCTCCTCAACACAACCTTGAAGCCATTTGTGACTCAGCTACAACCAACAGTCATCCATCCATCATCTATACACCGCTTAATCCTCACTCGGGAGGCAGGGGGGGCAGGAGCCTATCCCAACTGACTTAGGGTGAAGGCAGGGGACACCCTGGACAGGTCACCAGTCTATCACACACTTAGAGACAGACACCAAGCACACTCACATTCACACCTACGGACGATTTAGAATCACCAATCAACCCCAAAGTGTTTTTGTGCTGTGTGGGAGGAAGCCAGAGAACCCAGAGAGAACCCACGCTGCACGGGGAGAACATGCAAACTCGCGGATCTTCTAGATGTGAGGCAACGGTGCTAACCACCTAACCACCTTGCAGCCCCCAACTGTGATGCGATGAAGATTGAGGACTGAATTGGGCTGAATCGCAGGCTATGTTTAAACAGGGGAGTAAGGAAACCAAATACAAAAGTTAATTTAAAATATCAATAGTACATAGAACTTTAATTTTTCTTCCAGTATTGGTAACACTTGCAGGCACTTGGAAAAACGTTCCAAAAGTGTTGATCCCAAGTTTTTTCAAGCTTTGCAAAACAAGTAATCAAATTTGATCAGGTTTTTTTTTTTGTTTGCGTCCCCATCCTATCCAATCTGAGGGATTTAATATTTAGTATCTGCCACCAGGCAAAACCTCTTACTGTTTAATACGGTTGCGAACTTAGGAGGTGGGAAATTCTGTGTTGGCAAGAAAAGGGCATTGTGGGAGGGCACTGTATTAACAACATCTATGTCGCGTACTGAATTCCAGCCGGTGAACAACTGGTTAAATAATTCATAACATGTTCCTACATCCCCATAGAACATCTAATGAGCATTTTTGTGACTTTCTTTTACACTGATAGCCCAACTCTCTTACTATATTTCAAGTTGTTAAAGTATAAGCAGATACATAAACATTTTAAATGACCATGGTCAGACATCCCTTGGTCCTGCAGTAAAACTAGTCGAATGTATACACAAAGAGAAAACTTTTTGGGCGACCAGAAACTGTGGAGCAAGGGTCAAGCTCCTGACTTCCTAATATAGTCAACCATTTGGACTACATCAGCTGTATGTGGAGTCCACCTGACTTTCCCTTCTTGCATGGATATTAAGTACTAAATATGAGGAACCAACTCCAAACCGCTTCAATACTAGTTCCAAGAAACGTCTCACTTGTTACCTGGTTTGCACATGACAGGATGTGGACTAAGCACTCACCTTCATGAAACCCATGCCGCCCATAACCTGAATACACTCGTCAGTCACACTCCATGCTGCTTCCTGTCCCAATTTAAAAGCACACACAGACACAAAGAGATGCAAATTAGTTTGTTTCTGTCAAATGCAATGTCGAGTTTAACGTTAAACAGCAAATAAGCCTTGAGGTATCTACTTCCTCTATTTACCAGCCACAGTCTTTAGGCTTTAACAAAACAAGGAACACCGTGAATATTATGTAAGAGGTGCTGTGTTGTGCAAGAAATAAACAAATATATATATGTAAAGTACATACATAGCTGAAAAAGCAGGAGAAGAAGAATGCAACAATTTATAAAAGGTTCACAAGTTAACTTAGAGTCTGACATTCAAAGGCCTCTCTTACCCCTTTTCCACCAAACCATTTCCAGTGCTAGTTCTGGGCTAGTTCCGTGTTAGTGCCTGACTTAGCACCAGTTCTTTGTGTTTCCACCGCCTAAGCACCGGCTCCAGGCTCTCAAAAGCCCCGAGTACGTCAGGGGCTGGGGGCGGGGTGATCATGACCACAGAGGCCACTGAATGAACGGGACACACAAGCGGTGATTTGTGTCGTTTTTCGCCAGGACATCTCTGGTCTGATCACAGATGTTTTGGAATGAGTCCTGGGACACACGGAGGTTTCACACAAACTGTTGCGCCCTGAAATCTGGTACAACTGTGTCCCACCAGCAGCACCACAGTGGTGCAAACCGTACTTTTATTACTTCGGTGTACTGGTACTTACGCTGCAGTCCTCTCATGAAAAACGGAGCGCACCTACATGCGCTGTTTACTCCGCTCATGGAAAAGACCGCATGAGAAAAAAAATCACTCAGTTTCATCGTGGTAAAATCTGACATTAGAATGCCCTAGTTTACTCTTGTTAAAGTCGTTTTTGGTTGCACACCGGTCTGAGCACCGCGGCCACCAACAGCAGCTACCGCAGCCTGCAATGTGGGGCGTTTGGGGAACATCAGTAAATTGTAGCCTCTATTGATAAGAAAACATTCAGCAAGTCATATGTTTTGCCTGTGACAATGTGAGAAGTGCGAACAAATGAGAAAGTTGGTCACACCAGTAAAAAAGTTAGTCTGGAGTCCTGTGTGGACTTTCATGTGGTGCGAGCGTTGTTCGGCAAACGGCTACATATGCAGTGACCTATGGCGTGGCTCTAACTGGGCTCCCTGGAAAAGCAACCAGTTAGATTGGAACCAACTAAGCACTGGCCCTAGCACCAGCACAGCACGAGCACCTGGTGCTCCTTGGTGGAAAAGGGGTATAAGACACACAATAAGCTGAAGGACATGTGTGACTGAAGTTCTTACAGAAGCAAAGATCTTGCTGATGGCAGCTTCAATCTGGAATTCACTTGCTCCACTGTCCATGTTTCCACTGATCATGTAGGCCATTGACTTAAAAAAAAAAAAGACACAAAACGCAACGTTAACATGAATTCATGAAATCTTGATCACTGATGCTGCAAACATTCTCCACATCAGTTGAGAATAAAGCAACAGAACGCTTTGTAGAAGTACAAGAGTGTAATTTCAGTTCATTTAATTTAATTCAATGAGCATTTTAACCTAAACCTTTAAATGAAGTCTATTTGGAATAACACCAGAGTGATGACAAAACCATTGAGCTGGTAAAGATGATGCTGTCTGACTATAAAGCTGAAAAAAATTATCTGATATTGTTAAGATAACAGCAATATATGATACCGACTGAGGTGCAGGTAAAACATTAAAATTCAGTGTCCAGCGACTGACCTCAGTAACATATTGCAGCATAGTCATGCGAGCCATCTTCTCCTGGATGGCTCCATAGGTGTGGATCTTGCTTCCAAACTGGGTTCTGTTGGCAGCATGGTCCACCTGATGGAAAGAAAAAAATAAGCGGGTCACTATCACCAGGGGCGGAGCTAAAAGGGGTAGCTTGTGTTGGCCATGGTGACCACATATTAAAATCTGGCCATCGTTCTGGGCCACCCCACACAATAAAAACAATTAACAAATAGCCCAATAGAGGATGTACTCATAGAACTGTATTGACATCCAATAACCACTATTTTTATAGCTTTGTTGCAGACTTGTATCTATATGGTTGCTGCCATTTGGACTTTTTTTTTCTGTTGAACCGCTCCCTATTCAACCCAATACAACTGGTTCTGACCAATTAGAAAATACTGGTTTTGAAGCAATTCAAACATTTCAGACCATTGACATTGAAAAGTGTGTAGACAGCATAAAAACACGTCTGTATTTTTTTTATTTTTTTAATGAATGACACTATCTTGATAATGTGTTTGCATGTTATCATTTGTGTGCATGGTTTAGGTTTAGCCTTGGATTTACTTGAAAATCTTCCACTTATTTACAGCCTTGCCTGCATAAATGAATGATAAGAGTGAGAAAAAAAGACTATTTGGCCTAATAGATAATTGTAACTAAAGTGTGAGCCCTACAGTTCCTAACACTTATCTGAGCTCTCCAGTGTTGTTGTCTAGTTTTGGCCAGAAAGAGGAAGTCGGCTCGTCTGCTTGCCACCACAATAATGGGCAATGACTACTGTTGTGGTGAGCTGCAAAGTGGGTGGCAATACGGCCCAATGCCACAACTAGGTCTGTCACAACCATGAAATGATAGTGGACAATTAATTGTCACACAAATTATTGTACTGATTTAGCTGTCTTTTTCATTTCATCCTACTTTATTATGATTTATAATCATGAATAAAGTGGACACTTATGTAGAGACTTGTTGCCTGGCTGGACCACTAGCTGCTGTAGCTTCCACTGTGACACCTCTGTTTCAACTTGTGCCTTGAATTTCTCATGCAGTCCTGCAATGGCATACTAATGATGACTGAAATGAGTATTTAAAGGATATAAATGATCGCTGCATTAAGTACATGAACATTCAACACTGTCTTGTTTACATTTGGGACAGCATTACTTTTTGTACTTTTTATAAACACCACAATCAGTTCAAGTGGTCCCAGCATTATAAAATGCAAATTTGACTAAACTGCAGATCTGCTTCTGTTAATCTGAAAATGAAAGTCTTCCGAGGAAAACGGCAGATTCTACCAGCGCTTGCAACCTCACTCAGAAGTTGCACAGCAGAGACAGGGGAATTTCCCAGTAACCCACAATGAAGACTGCAACAAAGGGTGTAACAGACAATACAGGTGAGGCTCGAATAGGAAACCACAAAGCACATATAGCAACAAGGCAGAAAGTAAAAGCAATAGAAGAAGAGCGCTACTGTCACAGTTTACCATATTCTCCACTTATGGTGCTTTAGGTACTTACAGCTTTGGCGATGGAGGCCTTCATCGTGCCGGAAAGGGCGGCCGCCATGCCAAAGCGGCCGTTGTTCAGGATGTTCATGGCCACCTTGAAACCTCCTCCCACCTCTCCCAGGACGCAGTCGGCTGGCACGCGAACATTGTCGAAGTAGACCTCGGCTGTGTTGGATGCCTTGATGCCCATTTTCTTCTCTGGAGGGCCACTGCAAGTAAGAAGATGGAGAGATGTTGATAAGAGGGAAGGAATAAAAAATAGAGAAGAAGGATTTAAAAGGTCAAAAAAAAAATAAGAGGGGAAAAAAAAAAGACAAATTAAAAAAAAACAACTGTGGGGAGCTCAGATAGCTCAGCAGGTTGGGCGGGCGACCCATGAACAGGGGCTGCAGACCCTGATGCAGAGGTCGTGGGTTCAAGTCTGGCCCATGACCATTTACTGCAGGTCCTTTCCCCACTCTTCTCCCTATATTTCATATCTTTCTTTCCACTATCAACTACAATAAAGGCTAAAAAGCCCAAACAATAAACTAAATAAATAATAATAAACTGTTTAATTAAAGAGTGAAAAGTAGCTCCACAGCATCTAATCTGAATCAGAATTCAGTGACAAACAGTTGACAAAGTTAAGAATGAGTTCGCTCACTTTGTCACTCCTCCAAAGCTCCTCTCAACAACGAAAGCTGTGATCTTGTCCTTCATCTCCCCTGTCTTGGGATCCTTCATGGGTGTCTTGGCGAACACTGTAAAGATCTCAGCCAACCCTCCATTGCTGTCAAGATTTAAAAAAAAAAAAGTATTAAAACAGGGAAAAAACACAACAGCAGCTTCAAGTCATTACTTCATGTTACTGGACATTTTATGCAATGCTGCCTCCTTGTGGTGAAAGTACCAAACAACAGACTACATAGACTGGTACACTGTGTCCTCACCTGATCCAGATCTTGCTTCCATTGAGAGTGAAGTACTTTCCGCAGGGGGACTGAACGGCTGTAGTCTTGATAGAGGCGGCATCAGAACCACTGGCAGGTTCGGTCAGGCAGAAGGCAGCTATATGCTCACCTGGAGGGACACAAACACAAGCACAGTGTGATATAATAGAAATGACTGATCACCTTCATATTTTGCCTTCATATATAAATAGATAGGTTTTATTGTTTAATCAGTGACAAAAAGGTAGAAATGTTTGGATTGTTGGGTCAACTTTAGCTTTTGGGTTCTCACCTTACTACGTGAGGAGCTATGAGATAACATATGTTGTGGATTGGTGCCATGTAAATAAAATTGAACTGAGATTGAAATGTGCCTTTTGCTTTTGACCAATATGAACATTACAGCAAAATTTATTTTAAAAAAAGAAAAAAAAACACAGAGTAGAAAAAAAAATAATAATAAAGAAAAATCGCAACACAGACACAAAATACTAGTGTGGAGAAATAAATAAATAAATAAAATTCCAGGTGCCAGAAACAGGCTGGTTTGAAATGACTTGGTTACTTATTCAACTCATTCAAGTATGCATTTCCCAAAGCCTGTGGTGACATTCTTAAATATCATTGGCAAATAATTTAAGAATCGACGACTGGACACATTTACATTTTTTCCATCTTAACTGTCTTACCGATAAACACTTTGGTAATACATCGCCAATTGACAGAAAAAAAAACATCATGCTGGGTTATTTTCTGTTTTGTATTTTTGAAGAAAAGTTACAGACTCAGTGTCTTAGCCACGTTAAGTGCTTGAGACAATCTTGTTTGACAGTCTCAACACAAGATCACCTGCTGATTCCTTATCAGACATTTTGAACTACAGTGGCAGAAGAGGGTCTGAATGATCTTTTTCTTTTATAATGAATGGATAATTCCCTTTACTGTTGCAAAAGGGCCAAGTGAGAGTAAGCATATTCATGGACTTGACATAGGTTGATGACGTCCCGCACAGAACTGTCCCCATGGTACATATAGCATTGTTATGATGACAAGAATCTTGTGTCAGCGCTCCTCTCTCTACACTCTATTTTTCACACACATGCGCAGATCTGATGAGAACATTTCATTAACCCTAACCAGTCAGAACACATTTTCTGTCAATAATAAATATATCTCCAGCCTTATCCTATGACAAACATGTTTGCTACAATGCAAAGCTACAATTCAGATCTAAAGGTGTAAATCAAAACACTGGCGCTAGTCTTCCTACCTGTGGCAAGCTTAGGCAGGTACTTGGCCTTCTGGGCTGGATTCCCAAAAAGCAGAATTCCTTTGAAGCCAATTGACTGGTGGGCACCCAGAGTGATGCCAACGCCCAAATCATGACTGCCGACGATCTCAACCAGTCGGGCATACTGTGGGATGGATGGATATTATCACATTAGTCTCATTGCACTCCCCTGCCTGACACAGTTAACAAGTAGACAATATTCACTCATGATTATGTGTGTTAAAGTTAATATCCCTAAACCTGCTCAAGCATATGTACCTGGGTGTTTGAAAGGCCGAGGCCGTTCAGGTCGGCTGGCACTTGCAGGCCAAAGGCCCCCATCTCCTTCAGGCCGTCCATGGTGTGATCCTCCACCTTCTCCAAGGCGTCATTCTTGGCAGGATCATTGACTTCCTGTCCACAGGAAGAAACACGAACATGCAATGGTAAGTGAGAGCATTAAAAAGAGACTGTATCCATGAGGTCCAACAAATGTCTTCACCGAGGTTGAAAATTACCTCAAAAAACTTGTGGACTGGCCCCACGAGCTCTCGAAGGAACTGATCCTGCTCCTCACTGAGGACTACAGCACAGAGAAAAACAGATTACACTGCAACGGTTTCTTCAGTTCCACAGACCGTCTAAATTTTGGGCAATTTTGAAAACAAACATCGGTATGAATATCTTGTGGATTACCTGAGGGAAAGGGGAACACTTGAGCAGTTGCAATCTGCCCCTTGAAAATGCTGACAGCGAATGATTTGGATTCCTGCAAAATTAAGCAAACAGTAAAGCTTGTGTTAACACAAACAGAGTGTACAAATGTTTAGTTCTCGTTGGCCTGAAGAACTTTACTGTACACACACAAAAAACAATGTTTACTGTTACTGTGCACCAGTGAAGCCTAAAAAATGGACTTTTTTAGCTTTTTTAATGTTCATCTTTACGAGCTTGCGGTTTCCTCCTGCCTTTGGTGGTGTTTTTTTTTGTTTGTTTTTTTTTAATTCCACCTGCTGATCCTGAATTTCCCTCTGGGATTAATAAAGTCAGTCTAAATCAACAGAATAGATCAGCAGGACTGTGTATTGTCATTATTAAATGTGTTAACGTCATTGATTTGTTGCAACAAAGGTGAATTTTAACCATTAAAATGCTCAGTAATACCTTTCACAATTAAAAAGGCATAATAATGTAATCTCAAATATATTTAATTATAAAATAATAACAATAGACAGTTAACATACAGCAGCAACTGCCTGCTTTTCCACTTTAGCGGCTGCGTCACTGCCAACTGCTGCAGGCTTCTCCAACACTGCCTAAAGGGAAAAAGCAAAATAGAGGTTGAACAGAGAACAAGCTTACAAACAGTTCATCAATTCAGTACAAGAGCATGAGAACTGTACACTGTCTCTGTGAGCAATTGTCATCCATGGCTCTGGAGCTGAAGGTTTCTGATCTCTGGTAACTGTCCCAACCAATATGCCAAGGGTTTGCTTAGGAGTTTCTCAGTGCTTATCTTTTTTTTTTTTTTTCTGCGCTCCTTTCCACCCAAACCAGTTAAGTCAGATGGCTGCCCACCCTGAGTGTCGTCCTTCCAGTTAGAAGGTTTTTCCTCCCCATTGTCACAAAATGTTCTTCAAAGGAGATTTGATGAGTTTCTCTCTACAATATTGTAGCGTTTTGAGGTTACTACATAAAGTGCACCGAGAGGACGTATGAGCAAAACTGAATTGAAATACTAACATGAACAGCATTTGTAGTGTTTGATTAGATATACAAAATGGGGAGAAATTGTCAGGTCAAAAGATGCAACAGGAAAACAAACCTGAGTACAAAGATTTGCACTCATGTGAAAAAATAACACCGGGACAAAGGTAAACAGCATCAGACTGTGTGCTGTCCACTGTGGTTTCATGATGTAGTGCTAAGAGCCAATAGAACATAACTGAAAGTTTTTCCAAAGCCAGCTGGGACACCTGCTCGATTAGATGCACAAGGGGCTGTTCCCAAGTTCCAAATGGGTGAGAGGTGATGCCAGTGTTCCATCTGGCTGGCTGAGTCACCTGACAGCAGCAGTACTGTGCATATGATACATATTTTTAAAATCTACTATGTGTATTTTTTCCAAAACCTTCTAAAAAAATCTGTAAAGCAACAAAAGCTATGCCACTAGTTTGCTTTATTGCTGCCTTCCAGCTAAATGCATGTTGTGATAGGACTTTTCACAGGGCTCTTGCTTTGACAGATGAAAAAACTGGTACCCAGAGTGAACCTGTAACATTTAACATACATAACAACACACAACTGCAACATGCTTATCAAACGTACACTAAGCTATAATATACCTAAGTGAATAAGTGAGAAGAGGTGGGCAACATTTACAAAATAAAACACTTCACTTCAGCCTAACCACAAGCAAAACAGTTGGACGAAGCAGACAGACGTAAATCCATATAGATTTGTGTTATCGTAGAGGCAAAACATTATCATATAGTAAGCGTAGCCACAAAGCCTCTGGCACCACATCTAAATGAGCTCCAGACATGCATCTGTGCTCATCAAACAGGTAGTGTTTACTTAAGACTCTGAATTAAACTGTAAATGTAGCAGAAGCATGTGCGCTCTGCTTCTGAATCTAACAATCTGCACCAAATAATAAGCCAAAAAATATATTTATATATAACCTTTTCACATTACACTTTCTTGCAAGCAATTTTCTCATTTTGATCTTTTCTAATTCTCATTCATCATTTCTTTTTATAAAAATAAGCACTTGTATTTACTGTAACATGTGTTTCTTCCAAATTGGATATACTCCTGCACAACCTGTACAGTTGCCTCACTTAAATAACATTGTAAATATGTTATTTGTTTTATAATAGCTTTGATTTGCCACACTTCATTTGAATTGGAACACATGCTTCTTAATCACATTTAACACTTACTGTTGATTTCACCCGCTTTTGTTTATCTTTATTCTTCCTTATATTTTTTTTTTACTTGCCAGTGGTCGCTGTTATGCACCCAAACACCAAGTCACATTCCTCTGATGTGAACACCTTCTTGGCAACAAAAAGGAACCTGATTCTCATTTTAATAATCTCTAGCTGTTGCTCCCACATGGTTTAAACAGAGATATTATCTGATTCCTCCATAAAAGCAGCAGGTGAATTGCTTATTTTCAGGAGTATGAAGCACAGAACAGACGACATCTTCCACAAAGCTATCCCGTTGTGAACCCTTGTCTGAACAACAGCAGTGTCACCCACTTTCATGGTGTCACCTTTAATAGCGGAGTCATGTGACCAGTGAACTTTCCCCCACTTACGGCGGGAGAGGGTTCCGATGTTATGTCAGACAGACATTGGACCAAACAAGGACAACAAACAGACGATGCACACATTAGCTTAAAATCGACAAATATATCAGGAAAAAGTGATAGAGATAATGATTGTATTACAGAGAATGCTAATGGTATCGTACCTGGGCTGCTTGGCTGGCGTACAGACGGCTGTTTTGCAGCGCAACCACCCCGGCCTGACGCTGACCTCTGTAGTCCAGACAAGAAACGATAGTTACTTCAAAAATGTCTCATTTCTAACAAAAAAAATGGCAGCTGATTTAAATACAACTTTAAACATTACCCACCCAGATAGCGCCGGAGGAATCCTGAGAATGGTACCACACAGGGCGGAAGACTGGCTCACTTTACGAAGCAGCATGATTTTATTTTACTCTAAAAGAGACAAACAGTTATTTTATATATATAACTTAAACATGTTTTCAAACGCGGAAAAGGCAGTAAAGGTTAACATAGCGGCTAGCTAGCGGCTACGTAACGACGTTCGTTTGTTTTGTAACTTAGCCAGTGAGACTCCTCGAATGAAAAAAATAAACAGAAAAAGGCCGCTTAAAATACTTTGGTTCCTTTTCCAAGACCAGCAACATTAATGTTTGGTAACACACCTGTTCAAATAATATAACAACACGTCCCCGGTGTCCGAGCAGCAGCCAGCCGTTCCAAAAAATAAACTGCAACCAGCGACGTCAACCTCAAACCAGGTCAATTTCTTCTTCTTTTTTTTTTGTGTCCCCCCCCACTTCTTCTTCTTCTTCTTCTGCTGCTGCTGCTGCGCTTTCTTCTTCTTCGTTGATGTTTGACGTTTTGCAAACTTGGTGCTTTAGCGCCACCAACAGGAATGAAGTGTGGATCACTGACGATAAGCGGCTGTGTGAAAATATGAAAAGATTCATTTTTTTAAATTATTTCATTTTTCTGTGTTATTTCTTTCCAACTTTGTGTGTCGTTTCGTTCTCCGTCTACAGGTTTTAGTTGCTCGATATCTGTTATTGTATTGTATTAGCACCCTGTTGGTAGCCATTAGCTAATAATGATAATATGATAAACATAAATGCTTCAGAACCTGCTATAAATATGGTGTATTTGCACTTTCTGACAATCTTAATACCTGTTCAGGATAAATGAAATGATTAAAAATATAATACAATATTGAATTAAAATCTTACAAGTGACATTTTTGTAGCTGATTCTAAAAAAAAAAAACAAAAAAAAACAAATCAGCATTCTTACTTGAAAATGGGAAATCATTTTTGCAAAATATATCTAGACCATACAAATGGTCCTCAACCTTTACCAAAATACAGATGATCAAGTTTAAAAAGCCAGCTATATTTTTTTAATTCAGATTTTGAATTTAACACAACATGCCACAAGACATGGCCTGCTGTCGGTATATTAGCAATAAATACTTGCAATGCTTTTATTGTGCAGATCAGCCACTGTCTGTTAAATTAGGCTCTCCACTATTGCATATGATTGATAAATCTGGCGGCGACCAATTGTGTTTTCACTAAATATTTATTTAAAATGGCAATAGGTCATGTATATTAAGACCTTGCAGACAGAAACGCTCACTGTTTATATGATTCACCTGAGGAAATCTTCATTATATTGATCAAAATACAATTAGCTACAGCATACTATACTACTATAGTGTTTATAACCCATTTTCTTCAAAATCCCCTGTGAAAAAAATTCAGTCGGAACAGAAAGTATGTATCAAATTTATTCTCAAATACACAAGCAAAGGTGGCAATATGAAATCAAACAAAGTGACAATGTCAATGTCATTCTTTTTGAAATGTTGACTCTTCATTTAGCACCTTAACAGTTGGGTTATACATGATTGATATAGTCACTCATACAAAATGAAATGGGTGAATAATGCGAGTCAGTAACATAAAAATAAGCATGGAGAGCTGGGGCATGTGGATCAGTTACTTAAGATATACACTGCATGTAATCAAAAAGTACCGCATTCAGCATCTTCTCGTTTCACCGACTAGTACCACAAGGACCATCAAGCCTCTACAGTCACATACCAAAAACCACGACACTCCTCAAATCAGGAGCGATTTCATGACTAGGCCTAGACAGTGATTACTAAACTCAAGTTCCCCTGACATTTTTGGACCTATTTTCTTTTCACATTAGAGCTTGCTGTTCTGTACTGTTTCATTTACATTGGAGTAGATATATACAAAGACGTTCATTGTCAAACAATGCTGGAATAAAGTGAATTATTTCATGTACCTGGAGTGTGAAAATGTCTCTAAAAATGGAAAAAGTAAGGCACTCGATATACACCTGCCAATACATTTGGCATGATAATCCTGACATATATGCAGGATTGTATCCTTTTCAAGTACACAGTGTACCTGGCACCCTCTAGTGTTAAACTGCGGTCTGTGTGTTTCCTGGATAGGCAGCTCTGAGACCAGTGACTAATTTGGGAATGTGGTTCCCCTGCCAATATTATATATCTGTTGTGACAATTGCAATAACCAGAGTGCTGAGCAGCTTTGACGGGCACTCAAAATATTGTAATGAGAGTTTGCTTTTTTAGGAAAACAAAGTTTACAACTGAGAGAAGGAAGTAGAACTAGTCATTCTGGGTTTACCACTAAGTAAACAGACTTATGTAGTCGATTTGTATAATAGAAACTAGACTTTGTAGACACATCTGGTCAGACTATATCTCACAACAATTATGTATTAATTTTGCCTTATCTCCTTTGTCATTTTAAAACCCTGTTTCACCAAATTTGTAACAAGTGCCTTCAATCCAATAGGCACTTGTGAGGTCAACAAGACACCACCAGATCCTCGTCAAAAGAAGTGGGAACCAGACACTAACTTCACATGAATGGTCACTCGACACCAAGACAGCAAGACTACATCACATCCACAAAGAACTCGCTGGGGTTGCCCATGGCAAGGTGGAACGACTGGCGCGATGCAGTCAGCTCTGGGGGCACAGAGCCCAGGTCACGAGTGGGCGGGGCACCAGGAGGTCCCCCCGGAGTGGAGGAGGGAGGTGGGGGTAATGCCGGGTGCATGGGAGCTGTCGATAGCTGTTGTGTGTGCGGAAGAGCGTGAGCGGTTGCCATGGCCGGGTGTGGGTGCTGGGGTACCATCATCACCATCATGGGGTTGTATGGCAGGATTCCTGGCGGGTAGGGAGACATGTGGGGCGGTTGGGGCAAGCGGTGGTGATGTGAGCGCTGGGAGGAGGCGTGGCTGTGCTCGCTGGGGGCAGCCGAACCATGGCCACGCCTCAGGCTGCTGCGGGTGGAGTATTCTGATTCACTGCCGCTACCAGAACGTGAGTCTGCCCCACCGCCTTCTCCACCTCCACCAGAGGGGGATTTCTCCCCTCCACCCACGGTGCTGCCAGGACCTTTACTGCTACGACGTCGCTCACCCTCACTTCTTGTCGATCCACTGCTTCTGCTCCCTGAGGAGAGAAGGAAAATGTTCTTCAGTAAAAAATACTGTACAGCATCCTCCTTATTGCAAGAAAGTAAACATGATCGCTAGTTATCCTTTCAACAGCATTTATGGTGGCTTAAAGTTAATCCAAATCCAAACAGCTTTTGACAGTTAATTCTAAAGACTCAGATTTCAAAGCTTCTCAAAACAATAGTCTTGCACTTTAATCTAGAGACAAACTAAAGCCAGAACTTTTGTTACAGAAAAATTAAAACCTCTTTCAAAATCCTAACAATGGTAACAACTGAAATTAAAGCTCTGACATGAAGCCTTTCTCAGCAGTATGTCAAGTGGCTGCCTTCACATCTTAATGAGGATGGTTACACGAAAAACAGTCTCTTTATGAATTTAATATTTCAATTCTAGTGGCCTTTAACTGACATTTCCCATCAGCTTGAGTTTGTCGGCTAAATGTCATAAAGGTCAGTGTATGAGCAAGAGGTGGGGTCGGAACATGTTCAGACTATAATGACAGCAGCTCAGAGAGGACAGAACGGTGGAGACGTGTTTCACCAGTAGAGTACATCATTAGAAAGTTTTATGTAACAGTTGGTGAGTTTTAGGATTATGTTTGTAAACCTCCAAAGAAGCTAGCTTCTCTTGCTTTTCAGTAAATTTAGAGGGCTTTTAATTGATCAAAACTGAAGGAACAAAAACCAAGTTATTCTGGGTTTTCTGATGTATGGTGATGAGTACGATTCCCATAATGCTTTTCTACAATGTCTGTTATTAATAGTCCTAATGCCAACAGCCACAGGATACATTAGAAAACCTTTAACAAGCACCCTATGCAGGACTAGAAAAACTTGCATCACCAGACTGCAAGCATACTCCTTTGACAAAAATACATTTGTAAAGACCAACAATATTCACAACTATCCCAAGCAAGCTTTGAACATTACTACATTACACCTGGATTAGTGACTAAATAAGAGTAAATTAACAAAATCCTAAAATGGTACTCTTTGAGAAACGGTTTTTAAATATATATGTTTTGCATTTAAAGGGCTGATTAGTGTAAAAAATCAGGATGACATTTTATCACTGTCCGTGCTCACCTTCACTGTGCTGGCTGCCGGTGCTGCCAGGCGCGTAGCTGTAGCTGGTGAGCTCGTGGTACGGAGGTGGCTGGCTAGAGTAGGGATGTGTCGGGTAGGGCTGATAGGGGAAGGTGTGCATCATGGGCCATGGCGAGGCCCCAGGGAGTGGCAGGGGAGCCAAGGTGTCCTGGTCTGACGCTCCGCTGGAGCCATCGTTGTCATTTAGAGACAGATTTGCCATGTCTGGGTGGAAGATAAAGGAGAGAAGATCAACAATGACGCAAAGCATACATTTAAAAAAAAAAACAACAACAACAATATAATTCTGCAGTTACAAAATGTTATTAACAAACCTACAACTAACACAAGATAATCTTTATAATTGCATTATGTCCATCTTCAAATGTCACCTTTGGATGTGACTAGACAGTCTTTTGCATGTATTAGGATTCAGTCAAGACTGCACCCATGAAAATAGCTACATTTAAAGCTGTAATAACAGCTGCAGCCTGTAGACTGTGTGTTGGTTCTCTCGGCTTGTTATTACATGCTTTCTGGACATTCTAAATTTAGGGATGGCAGGACATTAAAGAAATCCTTCCATAGCTGAAATGTCACATGTTTTATCCCTACAACCACCAGTTTGTCCACAAAAGGCCTGTGTGCAAAATGCGATTAAGCATCACATTTAGCAGACTGATATAAGTCATTCTTTGATGTCACTGTTTTTCAGTTACTCACAATTCTCACAGTCGCTTAAGTCTCCGAATACATAGTAGCACTGTTCAGAAAACGTGATCTTGTTGACAGTGTGTCGAATGAACCCGGCCTTCAGCAAGTTGCTGGCATACTTCCTGGCTTCACGGCGGTCCTGGAATCCTTCGATGTGGTGGAACAGCCACTCCACGACATCAGAGCCTGCCAATGGGTGCAGAGACAAAGAGGGTCAGATGAGACAGAATTTCATGCATCTCGAAGAAATGCTTTGTGCTGAAGACACCCAGGATGCTTTTATGATTCAAATGAAAGTATACTGTTTATATAGGGCACATATCGCATAATAGAATAAAACAGAAAAAATATACAAATGTGAGTTCAAGTACAGGGACGACCTTAAAAATTACTTTAAAAAAACATAAAACATCTTGCAATTGCTGCAAATTACAAGCCTTGAAGTATAGAGTAGCAGCAGA